GTTATCTACTAGCAGATAACTGACTAACCTGTAGGTTGCGAGCGCAATGCATGATTTCCAAAAGCAATGCGACGGTGTATTTGTAGTTGTTTGTTCCAAAACATTGTATAATAAAACAAGTATTAGATTCGCTAAGTGTTATCAGCCTCGGCCTTTGACTCGGCTGATAACACTTACCTCGACCTTGGATATTCCGGATATCACAAGAACCTCATCCAATAATTGCCTATTACTGTGAAAAATATTACAAAATAGTTTTAGGTTAAAGGGGTTATGTCATGGAGGGTTCCATGATCAATACGCGCATAGATAGAATTAGCGCAAAATTTTATTTGGTTTAGCGTACGCTTAAAGCATTGCCAACTGAACAAAGATTGCTGAAGATTTCTGGAGAAGCTTTAGACAACGACGAATCCATGTATTGGACTTTTCAACTCCATTTTGGGAGGTCAAACGAAAATCGCTTTAACGGTTGGTGTCCCGAATGGCTGTGATCACTGAAAAACACTTGTGATCTGAGCGAATGAGCGATTGTAGATTTAAATAGCCGCAGCTAGGTCAATTGAATAATAAAAACTTGAAGCCTGCGTAGCAGACAGATGTTCAGCGCGAGTGAAATGGTTCGTTCGAGAGAGGAGGGCACGCACGACACGCTCCCCTACACGCACCACTTCCTACCTTGCGCCGTAAATGTTTTATGCGCTTGCTACGAAGGCTACAATCTTGGACAAAACAGACGAAACATTTAGACCCTCCCTTCCCCTCCCTCTCCGCAAATTAAGGATGGGAAAAGGGCGCCTTTTGACCTTCCCGAGGCTTTGTACTTGATTCCTGGGGGGATGGAGGATTGCTGTTCCATTTTATTCTGTCCAAGATTATAGCATAACCGAGTAGTTAAACTCAGAGTAGGACTGGAACCCTGGACGTCGGTCGAATTGAAATGCAGCAAAAGCCGCCAGGCTATACTGCCTGTTTATATCCCAGGGGATACTCCTGGGATCTTGGTGGGGGTATGCCGCTCGGTCCTGACCCTATTTGAGACCAAACATTGTCATGTCCCACACCCGTTTTCAGACCTGGCCTCTACAATCAATACCCGCTTTCAGACCTACGACATTATATCATTATTACTTGGATTTGGTTGCCTCAAATGATTTCTTAAAAATCCATTTCGAATTCTCATGTTACTCTTTCTTTCTTATTCATTTGGAACTGAAACGACAAATACGTTCATACACCGGCCCGTAGTTCCCTTGAAAACCACGCCCTATTCCAGATCAAACGGGCAAAGTGGACACCCGCTTTCGGACCGATACGGTGCAAAAACCATACCCTTTGGGGCGGCGCATACCTATATGGGAGTACCTCCGGGAATTATATAGCTAGGTAAAAGCAACAAGTTTGGTACGGAGCTACTCACCCAGCCTTTTTCATAGCTTTGGTCACATTTCCTATGGCTTCATCCACAATATCCACCATTGCTGCGTAATCTCTTCTTGTCTTATTGTCAATGAATTTATATTTGTCAATATACTCTTGAGGGGCTTCCGTAGGAGCGTGCACACATTGAAATGGTAGATACAAAAACAATGGTCTTGAGGAGTTGTGTGATAGGATCACATTTTCTGCTTGCTGAAAAGAAAAGGTAAAAGGGGAAAATCTTTGGTACCTGGTCAAAGTGTCCGCTTGGCCTGAACTTTATTCAAAGACTACCTTAAGTTTCAATATGTATTATTTAAACAAAAGATGAGGATTTTGGACAAAAACAATGGTCTTGAGGAAGTTTTACGAACGATTTTTACAAACGTCCTTACCTTCGGACCAAATACCGTTCGTTGGTGTAAAATAACAAATGTTTAAGGCCTTTCCTAATTTAAAACTGCTTACGGCTTTCACAAACTATTTTCAGTGGTTTAGTGATAGATCATAGGGAGAAAGTGTTCAACGAAAATCTAAGTGACTATCCTCTGTTGGAGATGCCGAAACTATGTAAGTAGGATATATTTAGACAAAAATAGCAAGAAAAGTATCGTTATAGACGACGCATTTCTAACCAGGCCTCATACGTTTTCAAAATTTCGAGCTTGTTAACGGACGATTAAACCTCTTTTTCTCCAGTTTATCGGTACGATTTTACAAGTATCATTTGAAATCCTGGCAGCTTGAGAAGATTAAAAATCACTATCCAAGTTCCAGGGGATATGGATACCTTTTCATTGACTATCTGAGTTATGATTCTTCACGGTGATGGCGATGATCGCCGTGTTAAAAAAATTGTAATTTGTAACTTTTTTGTTGTAACTGATTTGTTTATCCACGGAGCACTTACAGTCTTAGGAGTTCTTGAGAACCCGTTGAAACATGTCCGTAAATAAAATAAATAAATAAATAAATAAATAACGATTTGCAGGTAGCACATCCACATAGTGGTTCTTCGTCTACCTGATTCCTGGTCGAATTGGAATTTGGAAATGTTGGTTTTTGAGGAGAGGGGAAAACCGGAGTACCCGGAGAAAAACCTCTCGGAGCAAGGGAGAGAACCAACAACGTGCGTTCCAGATAGGATTGGAATTTGGAAGTGTTGGGTTTTAAGGAGAGGGGAAACCTGAGTACCTGAAGAAAAGCTTCTTGGAGCAAGGGAGAGAACCAACAACAAACTCAACCCACAAATGGCATCGACGCAAGGATTCGCACCCGGGCCACATTGGTGGGAGGCGAGCGCTCTCACCACTGGGCCACCCTTGGTCCTCAAATTAGTTTTACCTTGGCAAAAAGTCTGGCTGAATGTACACCTTCCTTATCTTTAACAGGTTCCTTGTTGTCACGTAGGTCAACTATGCCATATCTTTCGTGGTTAAAATGGTCTTCAGCTCCCATGTAAAATCCGTAAAATGAATCAAAGCCACGGTAAGTAGGAGTATATGGCCATTCATAATATCCAAGGTGCCACTTTCCCACTATATGCGTTGAATACCCTGACGTAAAACAAATTATATTTCTGTCATCATCAACAACAACAACAACAACTTCAGTATTAGAAACGGGCCCTTTATCTGACTCGCCACACTTCCCGATCACCCAAGAGGCTTGCGCTATACTCCACCTCAGTACCTTCCATTTAAGTACCAAGCAACACCTATGCAGGTCTTGTAGAAATTCCCCTTCTGCTAACACCTTTCTGATGGACAGTTCTTAGTGACAAATTCCCCACCACCGCCGGGTAGACGATCTTTATTTTCTCGTACAATATTGAAATTTGCACAGTTATGAGTCATTAAGCCAAGTTCTACCAACCTCGTTCCAAAAGGGAAAAAGCCCTGGGAGAGTTTGAGGGTCTACTTTTCCAACTGCGACAAAACTAATGACTTATGTTTATAATAAATGTCATACCAGCTTTTTTGAGCTGCTGCGGTAAGGTGATAAAATTTAGTGGAAGTCCATAAGGCTCTGTAGGACGTATCACTCCATGCTGAAGCCCTGAATCGAAGACAACAGTGAATGAAGAATTTAAAAAATAAGTAATGCTAATTAGGTCACGAATGTAATTTTTGCAACTTCGAAAAAGATTACGGACTTCATCGGGATTCAAACTTCTGACAATATTGGTCACATGATAATTTTCCAGCGAGTTAAAGCGGCTACGCTCTTTTAGTTCAATTATGCGTTCAAGTCATTACTTAGCGCCTTTACAAAAACACAGAATGGTGAAGGAGATATCGAACAAACTGCCCAGGTAGCGCTATAAACAATTAGCTTTTTGTGTGATTTTCGGAGGCGTAGCATTAAAACTTGAAAAAGTTCGCCAAACGTTCTTAAGTTTCAATCGGCCGGTGTCCATCCTCGTCATCCATAGCAACAGACGACAGGAAACATTCCGTAATATAGTCATTACTTCAGGGGCACCCAACGACAATTTTTGGAAAATATCTGTACGGAAGACGATTTGAGATCTAGAATTTTCGGAACATTTGTTGTTAAATTTCTTGCTTGCATGCCTCTCCTAAGATTTTCGAACCTCCCAAACATGGTATAATTACCCATTTTTAACGGATTTTTACCGTAAATAGGTCACCTAGAATTTTCGGGAGCCTTTTTTCTGGCTGAAATTTTCGAAAAGGTAAGTTTTGATCCCTAGAATTTTCGGATCACCGGACTTTAAGCTAGGAAATCCGAACATACGAAAAGTTTTTAGGGGATAAAAAGATGCCTATATCTACCGTTTAAATACTAAAATACGTTCAACAACGCTATGTTTAAGTGGTTTTGAACTATATTCTCGTTGGGTGCCCCTGTTGCTTTTGGAATTCAATCAATGGAAGTCACTTTTTACCTTTATAAACTGATAGAAATTAAAATTGCGTGACATGAGTCCTTTTAAATTGTATGTGTCGCGGTATTCTTAGCCTGTTAGTGGGAAAAACGGATCAAAAGAAAAAAGTGCGAAAAGACCCTTACACAGGCTTCCGTATTGTTGACATTCTTGGCACAAAGTTGTTGCCCCACCACCACCCTTGCCAAGAATCAGACAATATCGCCTTCCTACCTCCCCCAGCAACAAAAATCGACATGTGTAATTGGCCAAATATTGTAATAATAAAATAATGAAATCTTATTCATTAAAGCAAGTACATTATCATACCTGTATGTATCGGGTATCTACCGGATAGAAGAGCGCTTCTAGTCGGTGTGCAAATCGGTTGCACGTAATAGTTATCCAGTATG